CAGGATATTAAAAGGGATGCCTACAGGGATGCTTTTTTGCAATGTTCAAATGCCATACAAGACATGGAAAAGGAACTCAGAATGGCTTGTCATGTTCCTGATGCAAAAATAGACGCTGTACTTAAAGTAACTTCCATGCCTTATATGCTGTCTGAGTAAAGTATTTTCTGCTATTATATTTTAAAATACAATGGCTGCCTGACCTGAAATATTTTCTGCTATTATAATTCAGGTGCTTGATCGTCTAGTATCAAATTATGAAGCTTCAACTCATGGTCCAGAAAAATGGAGAAAACTTATTGTTTTCTTACAGCAGAGGTTTGTATTGGTGTTTCTCTTTAAAAAACAAATAGGGTTAATTACATCTACCTCCCTTGAGGGTTGGCCAAATTACTAAATGATCCCAATGGTTTTTGAAAATTTTAAGTTACACCTCTTGACATTTCATACTAATTTATTCCTATAATTTTTCCCAAAAAAATTTCTCTCGAAAATACACAATCATTTTAATAGATAAGATGCAATAGAAAATACAAGTTTCAGTGGACGTCAATATATAATACTCCGTATCAAATTTCAGTGTTGAAGTTGTCATTCATGGATAATTTAACTAGTCAAAGAGTTTTTTGTAAATTGTACAAACAACAGGGACCATTTTGTAATCTAAGCAAACCTCGAGGGTAATCCACCCAAAAAGTACTCTCACCTAAGTGCCTGTTTAGATTCTCAATTCTCAACTTTGGGTTTTTTAATCCAGTCTGGAAGGCCCTCTGTTAGATCTCACCAACAAACAAATAGACCAAATCAGATCAGAGAAGACTTCTCTTGCACTGAAGTGCCGTTCCATTGAGGATCGAATGAGTTTGATGAACAAACAGTTGGAAGCCAGCGAGAAGTACAAGTCTGAATATCTGAAGCGCTATGAGGACGCCATCAATGACAAGAAGAAAATTTCAGATGATTACATGAGCCGTATAACCACCTTGCAGAGCAATTGCAGTTCGTTGGAGGAGAGATGTTTCAGCTTGTCAAAAACGGTGGATTCTGCCAAGCAGGAGTCTTTGGAATGGAAAAGAAAGTATGAGACAGTGTTGTCAAAGCTCAAGGCTGAAGAAGATCAGGCAAATGCAGAGATTGCAATTCTCCGGTCGAGAACATCAGCTGCTGAAGCAAGAGTCGCTGCTGCTAAAGAACAATCTCAATCTGCTCAAGAAGAGGCTGATGAGTGGAAGCGAAAATTTGATAGTGCTGCTAGGGATGCAAAAAATGCTCTTGAGAAGGCAGCGCTTGTCCAAGAGCGTACCAACAAGCAAACCCATGCTAGAGAAGAGGCTTTGAGGAAAGAATTTTCCCTTACCCTGGCTAAGAAGGTAATTTAGTTAGTGTATTTTTGCATACTTTTTGGCCTTAACTGGATTATGTTTCATTTCTTTTTTATTATCCTCAACTTCAGGATGATGAAGTTAAGGATAAGGCGTCAAAGCTTGAAAAGGCAGAGCAACACTTGGCAACTCTCAGTGTGCAACTGAAGGTGAGATTCTGTAATCTTTCTGGCACATTTTGTGCTTGATCAGACAGTTTTTTTTGAATTTCCATTTTTGGATCATTGTCAAGATTTGGCTTGCAATAACGTTAATTACACCTTTTTGATTGGGTAGATTTAGGGAAACAAGAAGTGGGAGAGAATGTGTGGAGGTGGTTTTTTCTGAGCCCTATTTAAATAATTAAAATAACATTTTTTAGTAACATACTTTACTCTGTAATTAAAATAATTCTTTTAGTTTCATCATTAAAGGGTTTATTAATTTGTGTGCATAACACAACTTTAATTCATTTATGCCCTATCTAGTTTGTCATTGTTCATGATTTTAAACTTTAATATTCTCAGGCTTCCGAATCGAAGATAAAGAACTATGATGTTGAAGTTTCATCATTGAAGCATGAAATAAAGAATCTGGGTGAGAGGATAGAGAACATCAGTGCATCTGCACAGTCATTTGAAAGAGAGGCTCGAATTCTGGAACAAGAGAAACTCCACTTGGAACAGAAGTACCAAACGGAGTTTGAGAGGTTCGAGGATGTCCAGAAACGGTGCAAATCTGCCGAGACAGAGGCCAAGAGAGCCACCGAACTCGCAGACAAGGCGAGATCCGAAGCTGCCATGGCCCACAAGGAGCGGAGCGACATCCAACAGATAGCAATGGAGAGGTTGGCTAAGTTGGAGAGGGCTGATAGGCATGTAGAGAACCTGAAAAGGGAGATATCTGACCTGACCGAGGAGGTGGTCAGGCACCGGTCAGCCGAAGAGGATGCCCTGTCAAAGGTCTCAATCCTCGAGGCCAGAGTTGAAGAACGAGAAAAAGAGATTGAATCTCTACTGAAATCAAACAACGAACAGAGGGCCAGCACTGTTCAGGTTTTGGAGAGTTTGCTGGAGACCGAACGGGCTGCAAGGGCCGAAGCAAACAGCAGGGCAGAAGCTCTGTCTTTACAACTTCAATCCACACAAGGAAAATTGGACCTCCTTCAGCAACAAATGACAACCGTCCGATTGAATGAGTCAGCACTTGACAGTAAACTGAGAACCGGAAAACGGGGGAGAGGCAATGAAACAGGGGGAGGAGTGGACTCAGTACAGGACACAAGGAGGGCTAGCAAGAGAGCGAAGAGCACTACTAGTCCTCTAAAGTTCGGGGGCTCTCCCCCAGACGACGATGCTTCGGTTTACAGGGGGTCTGTTGAAGAGGACGAGAGCCCGCAGCAGACAGCCACGACAACTACAGAGGACTATACCAAGTTCACTATCCAGAAACTTAAACAAGAGCTTACCAAACACAACTTTGGTGCTGAGCTCCTCCAACTGAAGAACCCCAACAAGAAGGATATTCTTGCTCTTTATGAGAGATGTGTTCTCCAAAACAAGTGTTAGCCTTTCCTATACTCTTTGTGTCTTCCTCTTCTCCTCCTCTTCCTCTAACTAATGTCCTTTTTTATATTGTTTCTTTTTGTGGGTTAGTATTTGCTGTTTTACTATTGGCTCCAAGATTGATTGTGTGACATTATAATATTAACTGCTGCCATTAATCTCAGAAGTGTAATTTGCAGAAGAAGACAACTGAGAGGTGCAATCTTGTAATTTTGGTTTGTCTGTTTATGGGCCAGCTGTTTTTGGAAATATTTGGATAGACCATTTGAAGATTTCTTGTTCTTGGTGCGGTATATTTTATGAATGCAAGTTTTTTTTTCCCCTTCTTTCTTTAATTTGTGCTCTCGAAGTGGACAACTTTCTTCATAAACATTCATATGCCATCCAAGTTTGTATAATTCTAGGAAAATGAAAGTTATTCAAACTCTTATTCCAATTTTTTCCCTCTCTTTTCACATATTTCTACAAACATGGAGCTATACCGATTGCTATAAGATATATATGTAAGGTGGAGTGAGATATGAGATGCATGCCAAAAAAAATAGAAATAGAGTTTAATAATGAATTTTATTTAATTTTTTCTTAATTTACTAATGGGAGAAAATGAAAGTATTTTTAGGTGCACCCAAAATGCAATGTAGAAGTGTGTTGGGACAGTCTAGGGTATCATGAGTGTGCAAAGTCAAATTTTCTATAGAAGTTTTATATAGAGTAATGCACGTTTTTCAAAGGCACATACAACTTGATTAAATTAAATAGACAAAATGTGCTTGGTATTAGGGAAAAATGGAGTGCGTACTATATTAGCCCCTTTCTTTTGATATTGGGAACCATAATATTTCATTGGCTCTAAGAGCATCGGAAATGCATTTGAAGTCCCGGGCTTCAAACCCTTTTCTCTACCATATTAGCTTTAACCTCCTTTAACCTACATCACAATTTCATTGAAAAGGCTTCAAACCTTTATTTTTTACACTTTTAATACACACTTTGTAACATTAAATTAATAAGATTTCATTAATTAATTGAATTTAAACGAAAATAATTCATTAAGTAAAATAAAATTACATACAATAAAATAAATAACATTAAATTTTTTAAAAAATATTGTAATAAAAAACTAAGACAAATTATATTTGGCCTTGATCTCTTTTTGTATTCTCTCGTAAAGCATACGTTTGAAGCTCGTTAACGTATCAATATTGATTTCCATTACTTCGAGCTTCTCCTTTTCTTGCCATCGTTTCTCCCTCTCTTCTTCCCTAAGATTGAACAACCGCAGTTATTCAACCATTGCCTGACCAATATCGTCGTGAGAGGAAATAGAGCCGGACCCTGCAGAACCCGAGACAATGGATTTTGCCTTCTTTCTTCCGATCGGTCGTGGAATGAGTCATCATCATTGGTGTCCTCTAGCTTGAAGAAAGGTCTTTGTTCCGACGAGCTGATAGTGTTATCGGCCTCAACCTTGGTGGAGAATCTTTTCTTTGTCGATCTGGTCTCGGGGTTGTTGAGTTGTTGCCATTTCGGTGAACGGTTCAAAATTCTTCAAACATAGACGGGGACTTTGCCTTGGTGTCCGTCGTCTTGATACCAGACGGTGGCTTGCCGTAGAACATTGACATCGTTCATCCCGCTCTTCCGAAACCGAGAGCATCCATCGTAAACTCTGATAAATTTTCAGACTTTTCAGTTGATGTGACCTCATTTGGAAATGAGTTAGTCTCAGATTTGATAAGAGGCGTCTTTGTTCATCGCCGCAAAGAACTTCTCTCGATACGATCACACATTGCATCCTTCATTTGATCAGAACCTTTAAGAAATATATAATTTAACGAAAGAAATATTTTAACACAAATATAAAAAATACAATATATATTAAAAGAAAAATAAATTTTACCAACAATAGGATGCTCCGAGATGTAAATCCAAGAGGACGCCAACAAGGATTCTTCCTCTGGTGTACACTTTTGAATAGACTGTGCCACCTCGGTCATCGGCTTGTCGGTCTTTGGCTTTTTACTCTTTTGGCGTGCACTTTTCTTTGGTTCACTTGGTTCTGTTTGAGTCTCCAGAATTGACTCTGGATCCTCCAGATTCACCAAGGTTTGCATTTCGAACAACACCAGATTACTCCCGTACGTTTGGTAGAGCCACATTATATTGCTTACTCGTTTGTCTCAAGACTGGACGGAGAAGCGGAGGAACCAAAGGGATTGATGAAAAAAGAGGAGAAAAACTTGAAGATTTTTTTAATTTGAAGAAGAGAGAGATTTTGTTTCTGAGTTTTATTTTTAAAAAAGAGTTAATTTATAGAGAAATACTTTTTTAAAATTGTAACGACATTCTAGCTGTGGAAGGGAGGGGCCCACTGCCATTCATGCGTTAAACGTTTGACACAGGGCTGATGACACCTTGATGAAGCACAAAGGGGCGGTGTTTAACATCCCTCTCACATTAAACAGGCGATGACGCCTCCCGATGTTACATGCATTTCTAGTGCTCTAACCTCTCGGTGAACTCCCACTATGGCATGACCCGAAGTGACCACCTCACCCCACTCTATTGAAGTGCTCAAGTTTAGTTGACTTTGGGGTTAAAAAATTTGACCCCAAAGTCAACTTGATTTTTAATTGAAGGGGATGAGGTGGTCAGTTTGGGTCGGGTCGAGTGAGGAGTTTATCGGAGGTTTGGGGGGGGAGGGAAGAAAACGTAAATTTTACGATTAGGAAACTAATCGAGTCAATGTCATATCATAACATATAGGCCTAATGGCAAAAGAAGCAAACTTATATTAGTTTGTTTTAAATTTTACAGAATGTTAGATATACTATATTCATTAAAATACTTCTTATGTCAACGGTGGTGTAAATTATAGTGAGTTTCTAGCATGATCTCCATATCCCCTATGTAGAGGTAGGTAAACTTGAAAAATATTTATTTCGAATTATTAGAATGTTCGTTTAGAATCAATAGAATGTTCATTTTTGACCGTAATGTTCTTGCAATTGGGTTCTGGCATGTCTTAATAGAAAGGTTATTGTTCTTCTAGTAATTTTGAACTTAGCTGTCATTTTAGACTAACCCTTAGTTCTGAGCAGTAAATTATTACCTAGTGCATTAGGCCATCTGCATCGGCCGGACTAGAAAGGAGGAGGAGAAGAGTCCTCCTGAAGCACTCCTCTCATTAGAGGGATAAGTAGGAGGAGGACTTCTTCTCTGGCGCAAAATTCCAGACAGGGAGAGGTAGTGATCCGCAGAGAAGAAGAAAAAGATAAAGAAATTGGCCCAAACCGTGCCACGTGTCCTTGTATTTCATAATTTGTATAATTTGTAACACCTTAATCTGTCTAGGTCTGCATTCCCTTTCGAACTAAAGTATAAACTTGGTATTTGTAAACATTCAAAATATTTCAAACATTTTAAAACTTTATTTCATCATAAATTATTCAGGATAATAATGGAGTATTTAAAAGTTGCGGAAGCTTAATAAATCACAATTACAAACATAATAAATTTATGTCTTTTAAAATAGTAATTAAAATTCACACATCCATCCCGACCATCTCGCCTCGTCTGCCACCAACAATTCATCACTTCGTTCTTTTTGTTTATCTGCGTGTAGCAAATAAAACATACTACATGCTCAACGGTAAAGCTGAGTAAGCATATCTAATGCGTCAAACATCCATATAAATTGAATCTGAATTTATAATCAAATCATTTGATATTATGCACATAATATTCAATTCTAACATTCATCATTCATGATACTCACAATATTTTAATTCGAGTCATTTCATGACATACACAATATTCCATATTCAATATTTCAATAGTGCTATTATATTATTCTTAATCTAAGGTCAAATCATTTTGATAACAAAGCTCTTATACTATTTTTAGTCTAAGGCAATATTTCTAACCGGGCTCTTAAACTATAAATAGTTTAAGGCAGAACACAACAATCGATGATCAACCCTATGAGTCTTGTGGATCACGTACCAACCGAATAGTGAACTGTCGGGCGGGTGATATCCGGTTTGGATCTCGTACGTACGTTTTAACCCCAAATTTCTGAATTGGTCACATAAATATATATTAGAGTTCTTCTAGATATCCTTAATAGTTATCATCGATTTTCAAATGAGTATATCTTAGAGTTCTTCTAAATATCCTTAACAATACACATCATTTTCGTGATCATCAATATATCCATTTTTAGTCATGATTTAATCATTCATAATCATTACTTTAATCATAATATTCATTAAAGCTTAATCATCATAATCATTAATCAATAATATTCATCATTATCATTAATCAATAATAATAATCATAATATCCAATAACAATTAGCGGCCTAGCATCAAGTGCTAACACGCTAGCTTACCGTCATGCATCACATAAGATTTTATTTGTCAAAAGCATCATTTTTATTTCAAGAAATCATCTTTTATTGATCATAATTGATTGTATCAAAAATAAGATTTTAGAGCACCAAAAATAACATTTTCGGAAACATGTTCGGATCACACAGTTCGGGGGATCGATCTAGGGCTGGTGATCGATCACCCTGGGATCGACCCACTAGCCAGGATCGATCATCAGGTGCTGTTTTGTGAACATTACTATTCATCATCATCTTCCTCGGGTCCAATTTCGAAAATCCCATTTTTAGTCACCAAAAATCAATTAAACTTTATAGGAATATTCTCTAGTGTTCATAGATCATTTTGGTATCATTAGTTCATAATTTTAACAACAATTTCAAGGTTTATGCTTCTTGGTACTTGAAACATGTCAAACACAAAACTCAACCAAACGACCGTTTATGAACGTAGAAAACCTTCTATACGAACTTTCTAGTCACTAGATTTATCTACGGGCTTACCTCGGAGCTTAATGAAGGTTTTGAGAATTTTCAGGCGAAACCTCCGGTGACGATAACTCCCAACTCCGGCGACCTCTCATCAAATTGACAGCACCAATGAAATCTCCACACTCATAGCTATCTCAAAACGTATTTGAAGTGAAATAGTGAAGAAATGGGAAGGGTGTAGTTTCCTTTTTATAGAAGTTGAGGTGAAGAAGAAGACATAACTCACTCAGGATTCCAATTCCGCGTTTGATGATCGACTTCTTGCGCAGGACGGCCGATTTATAGGATTTCACACGTCGTTTCCTGATTGGGACTAATTTTGGTCCCAGTCGGGGTACACTTCTTGGTCCAACTTTCTCCAAATTAAATTCTGTTTGCATCGTTGCAATCAGACAGTCAAACTCTATCCAACGATATAATTTTTATATTGATTTGTAATACTTTTTTCCGACATCATATTTTTGGGTGTTCGACTTTGA